ACTTGTGTGCGACTTTCCTCCGCAGTTTTATCTGGGACGGGTATGAAGAAGGCTTGTGATCACTGTCTTTGCTTAATATTCTGGTGCGCGAGGAGTGGGATTGGGGAGCCCGTTTGACACTTTTTTTTTAGTTCTATTGGGGAAGCGTTATCATTGCTATCTTGTTCCAGATTGAAGCAACTCAATTCTTATCAATCTGTCGTGTTACGGAGTTCGTTTCTCGGCCTTCCTGTCAGCTTTTATTGCTTTTGTTCTCTTTCCTCGGCCCGGCTGTTGCTTTTTTTTCTCTCTCTATTTTTACTTCTGTCCGCGCATTAACACGGTGTGAAGTGTGATGCCCGTGGATTGGTCTTCATCTTCTTCTTCAGATGAGGAACTTCGAACAGCTCTGCGGCGCAACGCCACACAGATGCGAAGTGAGGGACGGGCGCTGGCAAATTATAGAACACCAACTACATTCTACAACGGCGAAGCGGTGGAGGTAAAATATGGCACCATATATTGTCCCTTTAGAAAAAGACACTTTCATATACTTCCAGTGAAGAAAAATCCAGCTGCGTTTTTCGGTGATGCAAATGTGAGGCGACGGAGACGTCGTTGTATATCTCCTTCATCCATTCAGCTGCTGGATGCTACTTCGTCCTTTGAAGAAGCAAATTCTGAATTAAAAAAACTTACGCTTAACGAAATCAGAGATACTGGATTTTATATTTTCCATGATATTAAGGAGTTTCCCTCGCCCGCTCTTGTGGTCTCGCATCCACCACTTTTGCAGGATTTCAGGTATTCCCGACTTGCAATGGAAAGTAGTTTCAAGGAACGTTTGGTGTCTCCAGTCTGCTTGAGTAACGAAACCGGTGGATGGAGGCGCTCCGGGTATCAAATAGCCCCAACGGGCACAGTTGCAAGTTTTTTGGATGGCCGCTTTGCTTTCTTTGGTGCGGGTCAGCACTCAGAGCTTTGTGTCGTGGAAAATGAAATATTGCTGCCTCATTCTCTCAGGATTCCGGACGGCAGCGGTGATGTAGTGGGAATGCATGCCGTGGGTCCCAATGCCATGGTTATTGTGAGAAAAAATAGGATCCAACACCTTTTTTGGGATTCTGATGCTTCGTTGAGTTCCGCGTCGTGGACCTCTTCTCCCGAGAGCTACGCAAAATTTTCGATTTCATGCACCAATGCATTTTCTGATGACCAAAGTAAGACTCGTGTTTTTCTTGCCTCCGGGAGGAGTTTGTTTACAGCTGTTTTGCGTGAGACCACGTTTTCCAGGCCCCGCAAATTGTGTGTGTTTCATAAAGCTCCTGTTTCTTCGATTGCTACATTTTCTGTGGGGCCTCTTGCCAACCAGGTGGTGTTGTGTGGAACGAGGAATGGCACTATTCAAATGCAATCGTTGCAAGCTGCTTGGGCTCGTAGTTCCTATGCTTCTGGTATTACGCCTAGGGCGGCGTCCATACCTTACATTAATTGTGTGGAAGGCACTTTTAACTTTGTTACAGCTTCGATCAACGGTGAGGTGAAACTGTGGGATCTACGATATATGCATACAAAAGAACCTGTCTCTGAAATGGAGGTAAACACAGCCGGCGGCCGTTTTCACGATATACAGGCTGCTTTTGTTGATGACATTGCTTGCTTTACGGATTCCACCGGATGTATTAATTGCATTAACACGAGAAAGTGGTTAAGCCTTGGTCAATACCAAAGAGTTGGGGGCAGTGAGGGGCGACTTTACGTGGTGCGGAATACAGCTGGATACCAAATACTGGATGCAGGATTTGACACTACAATGACGTATTTATTGCATATTGTATACTCCTGCGACCGTGGCTTCTTCCCACGCCATGTCTTTGTGCCCGTGCTTTATTAAAACTTCCGCTTCACACTCTCAGCACGCCCTGTTGCCACGGGGAAAAGATTCTCCTTCCGCCAACTTTTTTTATATAGATAGATATATTATTATTCCTATTGACCTTCGAAAGCTTGCTCCGTATTCCAGTGTTTCTGGGGGGCCAGCGTCAGCTGTCCATTGTGCTAGAAATAGCGCGAGAAACCAAAAAAAAAGACAAAGCACCTAGTTGGACAAGGACCTAAGCAGGAACGAAAGGAAAATAAGAAAAAAAAACAGGGAAGGCAGCGGAGTCAAATGGGGTCGTGCGGTTCTATTTCTCATGCCAATTATATGGAACGAGGCGAAGGCATTTCGAGCGGGGCTGAACGTGGCAATGGAGCGGCGTTTTCTCGGCAGGCCGAGCTAGACGTGGACTTGCCTTTTGCAGACCACAATCCCGGCGCCAAAATGGCTCTTTTTCACTCCCAGTTGAAGTCCAAAAAACGGTCTTCGTCAGCGTTAGCAATGCAACGGGTTCTTGGCGACCACGGCAGCAAAATGAAGAAGATAAACAACGATAAGTTCTGGGGTAGCTTCACTGTGCCGCCAAGAAGGGGCTCAACGGGTGAGTGGAAAAAAGCAAGCTGTGGTGTACGAAGGAGGATGAGCAGCATCATGAACGGGCTCGGAAATCCAATGAACAATCTCTTGTGCAAGAATGAGAATGAGGATATGGAGGGCCACCTGCAGCGCATCTTCGCACTCTTGGACACACAAGGGAAGCACAAAGTCTCGGAAGAGGCCCTTCTGCAGAGGTTAGGTGCGCAGTTCTCAAAACAAAGTATGAAGGCAATGTTCGCCGTCGCGGACGGCGATAAGGATGGATATTTGAATTGGAACGAATTTTCAAACTTCTTTCGCTACATAGCGGGCACAGGTTGTGTTTTTGCCGAAAGCGCGGATGTGTACTCTGCCTTGGAGTCCAAGTTGAATCTTCGCGAAGCAGCAGCAAAGGTTTCATTTTGGAGACATCAAGACTTGTATGATGTCAGGATTGTAAATTTGCCAAGTCAGGCTGGTCGCATTCAGTGCATTGCAATGGCGCCTGGTCTGGCTTTGTACGCCGTAAGCCACCTAGATACCTCTGTTGCTCATGTTTATAAGTTAAACGGTGTGGAGGTTCTCCATCTGACGGGACACTCGGAGTTTCTGCTAGGCATCGCGTTTTCTCCAGATAAAAAGTACCTTGCGACGGCGTCGCAGGATTGGGCGCTAAACCTGTGGGATTCAACGGTGGGTCAGGTGATCACGTGTGTGCAACACGAGGGCGTGGTGACGGCTGTGGCCTTTTCCTACAACAGCCGGGTGCTATACACCGGCTGCCAGGACAACGCTGTTCGCAGGCTTACCGTCCCAGAGGGGGGGCTCAATGCCGTGCTGAAGGAGTTGCCCAACAGACAAGACGGGGCGATTGTGGCCTTGGCTACCCAGCACACCAGGGATGAATGGGTAGTTTTTTCGCGGAGCTGTGACGAGTGCGCGTGTTTGGCCGACGCCCAACGCCTCTCTACCGTGAGGCGGTTGTATGGGCACGAGGGTGTCGTGTGGCACGCACGGTTTAGCCCCGATGATTCTCTTATTTTAACTGGATGTGGAAGTAGGCTGAACATCTGGGACGCCAACTCTGGCACGCTTGTCATTACATTTGATAGTAAAAGAGTGATTAACAGTAGAAGTGGCGGCTGCTTCACCTCGGCGGTTTTTTTCCCCATGGAGTTTGGAAACATGCTGATTGTCTTCACCTCACTTAGACAGTTCTACATTATGCGGATAGAGACTGGCGACATTGTCCTGGATATGACGTTGCGGGCGCCTGTGTACGCCACAGCGAGCGATTTTGCTGGTCGCAGTCTGGTGTGTGGGGACGTGTATGGAAACGTTTATAACATACAGCTCTGCTGCTGAACGTGCTCTCTCTCCCTCTATATATATATATGTATATGCGCACATGCGTGTTTTGACCAGTTCCTTGCTTCTCTTTTCTCCTTGTGCTGTTGCGCCCTTTTTTTTTTTTGCTTCCTCCCCATTGATGCTTGTAAAAAAATTTTTGGCTCTGAGGAGAGCGACACAATTACTTTATTGACACTTCGGTGGACATTTGCACCCGGCTATGCGGCCTCACGGTCTGCGTGCTCGCCGCCCTTCCCGCTTCTTTTTTTTGTGTGCGTGTGTGTGTGTGTGTTCTTGTTTTTTTTTTCTTGTCGTTGCTACGTGAGCTTTGGTTCCTCGGGTCGTTGGCCCCGCGCGAGTGTTGGGGGCGTGGCCAGCCCGCCTGAGCATGCGCTGCCGCCGCCCCCTCCCACAGCATCTTCACGGCGACGGCGCAGCTGCGCGAGGGGCACACTTTTTTCCCGTCCCCGGCGGCACCGCACGCTCGGCGTCTCCCGGGTCTTTTCTTTGCCGCGGCGCGGAGCGAGGGGCGAGGACAAGCAGAGGGGAGTAATGGCGGCAAGAGCACAAAGGAAAAAAAACGGGGATAAAAACGTTCCTCTGGCCGCTCATGGCTTGGAAGTCTCCCAGACAAACTTTGGAACTTCGCGGCCCCCAACACCCCCACACCACAGCAAAATCAACAAAACACACACGCACACACACACTTGTGTGTGTTTTCTTCTGTTCAGTGACTAAATAAAAAAAATAGTGCAATTACATATATATACATATATTTATATATCTGCGCATAATTGATTCTTGGAATTTTGCAAGAGATTTTGCACAGGGAGGCTAAAGTGCCCAGTATCTTATTTTTTTCCCGGAGTTGCTGGGCCGTGTGTTCTTTTTTTAAAATTTATTCTCTTTCTCTCTCTACCACAAACACGGCTTTTTTTTCTTTTCTTCTTGCATCCCTGAATAGGCATTGTTGTTACTTCAGTAAAGAACGCTTTGCCGTCGTTCCTCTCCTTCTGCCTTTGTTATTGCCCCCGCCCTTCGAAGGAGCGCCGCTGCGCCGACTCACGCGCTGGAAGAGCCGCCCCCCGCCCCCCGCCTTCTCCGTTCAGGCGGGGAATTCCTTCGGGGAGGCGCGGGGCGGGGGGCGGCACGTGAGTAAAAATACCCCCACTTTTTTTTTCTTGTCTTTCTCTGTTTTTTTTTTCGCCAAAAATTAGAAGCGCAGTAATACAGGAAGCGGCGGGGCTACATTTGCGACACGGCGGGGCGAGCTCTTCGGCGACGACGATGTTTCGTAGTCTTGTCAAGTTTGCCGCGAGGGCCTCGCAGGAGATGCCGCCGCAGGTACGCCAAATACGGCCGGTAAATTTTCATGACGATACCGTATTTAGGGGAAAGTCGTTTTGGGGGCTGATACGGGCCCTCTGCGTGCTGCATGTGTGCCAAATCCAGTACCTCTGCAAGAACTCCGTGGCGCTGATGAAGCGGTCGGAGGCGATTTTCGGTCCCTTCCTCACCTACGACACGGTGGTGCGGGCGACGGTGTACGGCCACTTCTGCGCCGGCACCGACGAGCGTGAGCTGAAGAAGACGGTCAGGGCGCTCGAGAAGCAGGGCATCGGCTCCGTCCTCGACTACGCCGCCGAAGCGGATGTGGAGGGGTTCGTCCCGGCGCCCGGCGCGAAGGAGGCGCCAAACCTGTCCATGGCTTCCCTCGTACACAACATGTCGGTAACGTACATGCCGCATGAGAGGCTGTACGATGAGAACATGAAGCTGTACATCATGTGCGTCATGCACGCCTCGCTCAATCAGCCCGTGAATGGCGTTGGCCTGGCGGCTGTGAAGGTGACGGGGATGTGCGATCCACAGCTGCTCGCGCGCGTCTCGGCGATCCTCTACTCGGTGCACCGCGGCTGGATGCAGTTCTTCACCCACGAAAAACCCCCGCCGATTGAGGAGTGCCGGGTTGTGATGGGGACCAACAAGGAGTACCAGCTCTACATCACCCACGATCAGCTACGCAGGGGCTTCACCGAGTACGGCGCGGCGCGCAAGTTCACCGATGAGGAGCTGAAGTCCGTCATCAATGCGTTTGACGAGAAGCATGAGGGCAAGGTGAACTACTACCAGTTCAAGAAGGTCGCCTCGGAGGCGGTTCTCGCCCTGGAACCCACACCAGTCCAGCAGCTCATCGTGCAGAAGCTCCCAAAGCTCACGGAGGAGGAGCGCGCGCTTTGGCGGGCCCTGCACAAGCGGTTGTCTGTGATTGTGCGCACTGCGCAGGATTTGCGAGTGCGGGTTCTCTTTGACGCCGAGCAAACCTTCTACCAACTTGCCATCGACAACATCGTCATGAAGTTTCAACGTGAGTTCAATGTCAAGGAGCCCATTGTGTACAACACCTACCAGTGCTACCTGACGTACACGGAGGATCGCGTGTTTAATGACCTGACACGGGCTCAGCTCGAGGGGTGGGTTTGGGGGGGAAAAGTTGTGCGCGGGGCGTACATGGACCAGGAGCGAGCCACGGCGGCCAAGTACAACTACAAGAGCCCTGTGTGGCCGACGTACGAAGAAACCGGCGCATGCTACCAGGCGTGTGCAATGCGTATTCTGAAGGAGTTTGAGCGCCTGCCCAAGGTTCCCTTTGAGGTGCTCTTTGGCACACACAACAAAAACTCTGTGCAGGAGATATCTGAGGCCATTATGAAACTCCCTCCCGTGGAGGGCAAGGCCGTGTTTGCGCAGTTGTACGGTATGGCAGACCACTTAACGATTCCCTTGCGAAAGGCGGGTTTCCGCGTCTTCAAGTACGTTCCGTATGGCCCTGTGAAGGAGACCATTCACTACTTGAGCCGGCGGGCCAGTGAGAATTCCGCCGTCCTGGACAATGGCGGCTCGGAGGAGGTGCAGCTCATGAGGAAGGAGCTGTGCCGTCGCTTCTTGTTTATGCGCGGACGGGAACAGAAGAATGAGAAGGTGTAGCAGTAGTGTTATACTCTGTTTCCTTTTCCTTTTTCCTCTTCCTCTTCCTTTCCCTTTTTTTTCTTTTACATGCATGTATATATATATATATGTGTGTTTGTGCCTGTGTGAGTTGGTGGGGCTGAGTCTTTCCTTTGTTTTTTTTTGTTTTAGGTCCTGTTTTTTTTATTTTTATCTTGGTTGTTTTTCTGCTCCTTTTCCTTCCTTTTCCTTATTTTTTTTTCCTTTTCTTCCTTTCTGCGTGGGCGCGTGCCCTGCTGGGCGGCCACCTCCCGCAAAGAAGGAAGGAAA